TTGAATTCAGCTTTAATGTAGCTTAAGTTTCACATATGGAGGCATGGAAGTTTTGGCGAAAAAGGTACTAATTCCAAAAACAGCTAGGAAGCTGGGATCTTCATGTGTTCTCTGTCCATATGCGGTATAGGCTTTCTAAATTTTATTGCAACATACACTGAGCGAAGTCCCAGCAAAACCTTTCAAACTGCTGCCTTAGATGTGCCGGTCACGCCTTGTGAAGCACACGAAAGTAGGGACCTGTGCTGTTCTTCACTGCGCTTGTTAACCGTATTTCATCCTTAGGTAGCTGAAGCAGTCGGAAGATGGTTACGTGAAGCCGAGCAAGCACATCAGTACTTCCAAGATGCCAACGAAACGGAAAGTTGGATTCGCGAGAAAATGCCACTTGCCAAAAGTGCCGATTATGGGCGTGATGAACAAGCGTCCGAGAGCCTCTTATCGAGGTAATCGTCGCTCCAGTTTTCGAGGATGTGTAGCAAGTGATGAACTTTGCATTAGTGAGGCTTTTTACCGCAAACTGAGTATTCCTTAATACGTCACGTACGGTTTCTGGGTGTGGGAGCATGTACTGGGTGGAGCGTGGGTTTTCTAGTTCTTGTAGGGGTGGCATGTTCTTTTTTTTTAAATTCATCTGTTTTTAAGTTCGTGTCTCTCCCATAATTTCGGCAACTTTGCATTGGACTTTGGCGCCTTCTCATTTGAATTTTACTTTTCTGGTTCAAAATTTAAAGTTATGGGCCTGAATTTTTAACATTCTTTTTCGTTAATAATAATAAACTATGTTGCTGTGCGTGACTGCAGAAAGTTGATGAATGCTTGTTCTTGCGTTCGCACAAATCTTTTTCATTCCGGTCCTCGGGTTGACTCTTTTCAGCCAGGCTTCTCCTTAGCTTTGTCGCTCAGAAACCTCAGCTATCGGTCCGTTTGCTCGGTGGGTTGTGCGCATCTGTGGTATTCGTTGTGGAAACTTCTTCGCTCTGGTACCATCTCGCAGGCGTCAGTCAAAATTCTGTGAAGGGGGATGGGGGAAGGGAGCAGAGGTCAAGCATTCTAGGATCAGCTCGTAAAACATGTATTTGGGCAAACTTCCAGGCACACGCGTTTGGAGGAAGAAATTCAGGCGTATCGTGCAGATATGGTAAAACTTGAAGAGATGGCTGTCGAGTTGGCGAAGACTGAGTTTATTGCCGGTGCTGTTGTGCACATCGAGGAAGATACGGAGGAGCTAATTGTGCCTCAAGTGAAAATGCTCTATCCATACGCAGGGAACAATGTGGATGTGAAGAAGGATGAAGTAATTCATTGTTGCCTGCTTTTTAATTTACCACAGTATTTCATTCAAACGTACTGAGGACCAGTGCCGGTCATTCATCGCTCTCCTGTTTTCATAACATGAAATGCATTGAGTTTTGTCGGTATGAGTTTGTCGATGTACACTTTTAGAGTTTTGTATAAAATTTTGAGGCATGTGATTTTGGACTGTCCAGGCTTCTGGAATTTCGGTTCTTTAAAATTTTTTCTTGGAATCACGAAAGAAGCGAACAAAAGCTGTATAAGTTTAAATTCTGGGGATGAAGGAACTTGCAAAAAACGCCATTTGTTTCTTTTTTGGCCAAAATCCATTTAGGCATTTGTCGGCTTTTTATAGTCTTGATGATAGCTTTCTAATCATTCTTCACCCCTTTCTGCTCTGGATGGTTTGTTTACCTTTCCAGCATTTTCCAGGTGTTAGC